ACAACATGTAAAGATGAAAATGTGTAATTACAGCATCTCTCGCAGTAGCGATTAATATCAGCAATGAGCCATGGCGATTTCGTAAGACGGAAGGCGCATACTGGTAGACCGACATCTGGTCAAAGGTAGAAGTTTGTAAAAGAAAATTTTTGAAATTCATTTTACTTGTACTTAATACATATTACCCTGTTTATACATTTAATAGATAATGACGGTATTAAAATATTTATTCAATTAAAATAATGACTAGCTTAAAATGAGAAATTTGGTAGGACTAAGTTAAGGGTACCTCGCTTAATCTACTCTAAATTTCTACTCTAAAATTTATAAACATCGATTTCTTTATTTTCAAAATTTTACTGTTCAAGAATGTGTGTGCAAGAGGCTTTTTAAGAATCCAAATTATCTTCGGAGATACTGCTGATTGACCACAAAATATTTCCTGTCCGAAACTTTAAATGCATTTTTCTCTAAACTGTTTTTGCGATACGATTTCTCAACTTCTACTAAACTATTTAGCTTGAAACTTTTACAGAACTTTCTTTATAGATTTTTTTTCAGCATGAAATACAGTCAACAATAAATCCCGATTTTTATTATTTTTAAATAATTCGTAAATATCAAAAACAGTTCAAATTTTTTATCTTCAGACAGTCAAATATTTTGTGAAAAATGATTTTCCCAGAATTTTCTTTATAGACTTTTCTCTAGCTATAAAGCTAGCTACAAATGATTTTTACTACTTTTAAAAAAAATCAAGAATATCAAAAATAGTTGTACAATTTTTTTTCTTTGGACTGTCAAATATTTTGTAAAAAATGATTTTCCTTAAATTTTCTTTATAAACTTTACTTTAGCATGAAATACAGTTTACTTCAAATTTCAATTTATACATTTTTTTTTTTTAAATCGAAAATTTCAAAAAAATGTTCTAACTTTTTTTTAGCCAATCAAATATTTTGTGAAAAATGATTTTCTTTTGACCTCTTTGAATATATTTTTCTCAGATTATTTGGAGGGCTAAAATCTTAGGTATGGTCAGGTGTAAATTTTTTGAGATCTCCTGATTCCAGAATTAAAACATTTTGACTATTTATTAATTTTATTTTTTTTTCATATTCTCATAACACCACTTACTAACTTCTACAAAATATATTGAATAAATATTGTTTGCCATTTTCACGGCCTTTAAAAAAAATCGCATAAAATTTTGAGTTCAGAATTTTGTAATTAAAATTCTAAAATTTGTTTTGTATAGATTTGCTTACTTCCAAGAATTTTATAACAATTGCATTAAAATGATATCACATAATACATAAAATTATCATTATATCACATAATACATAAAATTGTAATACAAAATCAAATTTTGTATTATTTTTTCCACCTATCAATTTGGTAAATAAGGCATTAAAGCCTTGATTAACAAAAATAAATTATAACAAAAAAAAACAATTTTTCAGTTCCATAGTCCAGTACAAGTTTGTGAAGGTAATTATGAATTTGTTAACTTTGTTGGACTCTATTAATACACCTCATCTCTAATTACTCGTTTATTGTCTCTAATTACACTCTCTACAATAATCAATATTCATCTCTATATATGTCACTATTAGAGATATTTTCAGTGACTCACTATAAATATGTCAAATAAAAAAAATTAAAAAAATGGGGAAGGGGAATATTGGTAATAGGTTAAAGAGAATCATTTATCTGTGGTGGCTGTCACACCATGAACCTGCCTTCGGGCAACGGGCTTCCGTTAGACTACCATTTATTATTATTATTATACGTCGCTACTTGTCTCTCAACGAACGAAGTTAACATATTGTTAGTTTTTTTTAATAGTTATGGAAAAAATATAATATAGGGTAAGACGGGGCACAAAGGTACAATTTGATTTCGAGCAATTATATTGTGGAAAATAAACTGACTATATCACTACAAATAATACATATCAAACAACTATCTGACTATGTTCAGTAAAACTCCTAGCTAATATTGTAGAATAGTGTTTTTTTGCTATTTTTCATTCAAAAATCTGCTCCTTTTTACCCCATGAACAGGATAAAATGCAACGGCCAACGAGAAAACAGATCTTACTTTAAATTTTAAAGGAATTTTTCATTTTACCATATTGTTGTTAAAAAAATTTTTAACTTCACTTGTTTTTGAGATATCGGTGGTAATTATTTTGGTCAGCCCTCGTTTTACGAAGAGCGATGATCTTATAGGCAGCTACCGAGCTAACGTTTCGATTTTTTTTTTCGTTCATCCTACGAAGATTTTAATTATACGGATAATGAATAACTGATCAAACCATCTCGGGCATTATCTTTGCTTACTGTTATTACAAAGAGATCGACTGTACATGATCTTAAAGTATAGTAGAAGTAGAAGCAGGTACTTCTCCGTTGCGAAAGCATTAATACACTTTTAAATTTATTACTAGGCGAATTAATTATTATGAATCATTATTATTGATAGCTGAACCGCTTTTCTGTATTTTATATATACATTGCTTTTATATAGTAGGGGAAACTGGGTGGCTTAGATAATTAAGTTCGATCATAATGATTATTTGTTTTCGAAATTGGGCCTTGGGTACGGTTGTGACATGTGGTTGTGGACCTTATTCTTCTCGGGTAAAGATTAAACAGATAAGCAAATCTCTAATTTAACTTTAAGATAAAATGCGAAAGAGAAGTGGTAAGAAAAATTCAATACAAGAAAATAAATTGCAAAGAATTCTAGTTCATTTCGTTTTAAAAAATATATTTTGTTTTTCGTTTTTTTAACTTCTGAAAATCGAAAATGAAAATTTTGGAATTTCTCGACGTTTTGAAGGTTTCTGAACATTTTGGCACACCTCAGAAACTCAACCGATTTGAATGATTCATAAAACATTCGATTCCTATCGATAGAAAGATGTGCTGATTAGTTTTTGGCAAAGGCAGGTCCAGCCATTTCGGAGGTACGAAGCTAAATATGCAAAAAATTGCAGTTTTTGAGAAAACTAAGCATCCGATTTGAATGATTAAAAAACTCTTTGTTTGTGTTAATGAAACAATTGCCTTTAAAAAAAAATTTTTTTTCAAGACTTTTTTTTTTATTAACTAGTAGAACTTTTATGTATTCCTGATTGTTAAAAAAAAGCTATCAAAAATGTACATGATAACAATATAAATTGTGAAGTAACAAAATAGCAAGTTATAAAATTAATATAAAAATTAAGATTTACTACTGAATCTTCCAACTACGTAAGCCTACAATCAATATTAATAGTTAATAGTTCTCCTTGCACAATTTTTATTAAAATAGAACTTAATAAGTATCTATAGATATAAATCGATATACTAACAACTAACTACCGTTTATAGTATCATGTTAGTTATTGCCTTGTACTGCTATTATTTTGCCTCTAACATATATTACACTTTTGTAATCAAAATGTTTAATACAAACTAGACCATTATTACAAACTGTAATTATTTTATATTGTAGATTGTTCTAGGTGCCTCAATCAATAATTTAGATTACGAGCCATTGACTATATGTGTATTATAGAGAAATATTATATGTGGAATGGTAAGTCAAATTGTAATTATTCTTATAATACATGTATTTTGTCTGTTAAAGAATAAATAAATTTTTTGGACTTTTTGTGAAAACATTGAATGTTTTAATATTGTCTATAAAAAAAATTATATGATCATTAATTTATATTTTTTGCAACATTTAGTCTGCTTCAACTAGGTACAAAAAAGTGTAACAAATCGCTCATTCTTCATTGTTTTCGTATAAAATTAAAAACTTTAAGTATTCATGCCAAAGTAAGAGTTAAGGGAAAATTCAATTGTAAAAATTAAAAAAAAAATATTTTCTGTATTTTAAATATTTTTAAAGTTTAACTACCCAAGAATATGTGTACAAGAGGATATTATAAATTTTGAATAATTTTCGCAGATACAATTGTTTGCCCATGAGGTTTTCTAAAAACAGTTTTTTTTTTCTATTGGATGCAAATGATTTCTCGAGTTCTACTAAAACGATTAACTTAAATTTCTCAGAGAATCTTCTTTATAGACTCTTGCGAGCATATACTATCCTCATCCCCAAATTTCAATTTTTACTATTTTTAAAAAAATCGAGCAACTCAAAAAAGTTTTGTCTTATTACATCCCAAAGCGACTTTTGACACAACTCTTGACATTATTTTCTTCCAAACTTTGATACATTTTTAAAATTAAACTACTTGCCGTAGGGCTGTATAATTTAATTAATAATTTCCCAAATATCTTTCAAATAGTTTTGAATTTTTAAAATAGAGTCAGAATTTTTTAATGTAAAACGAGGATTTTTCACTTTTCTCTTGATTGCTAAAAACGGTTCGGCAGATCGTCGCACAAAACTGAGAAACGTTTTAAATTAAAAAACAAACGTCGATGTAAGGTAAGAAATCTTCACATACACAAACATATTTTTTCCATAAATTTGCGAGAGAAGTGCTAATTGACCTGCGATCTATGGAAAGAGAAAGAGCGAGTGGGACTTCGCTCATATAAAAAATAAGTATAAAATCAGTGCAAGATTGAAAACATTCTAGATCCTACCCCCACAAAGTAGTGCCTAACGGCGGTTTCTGTAGGGATCAGAGACAAGGGCAAAGCAAAGGTTTTAGTCGGTATTATACACAGGCGGTATTGTGTCTGACATACTCAGACAAGAGACCAGTCTGGGATGCATAAAGGCATTTCCATACAAAAAAAAATTATCCAAATTGGGTCTGATTCGATTCAGAATGGATTGAAACGTCGAGAAAACATAAAATCAGCTAATTTAGTAAAAAAATGTCATTTTTTACGATGATTTAAATGTGACCTAAAATTCATGACTCTACAATAGAGGCAAGTCAATTTTGATAGTTATTATCAAAGATTAGGATATCAATAGGCAAAAAATTCTAAATATATAATTAATAAATCAAAATCGTCACTGACCTGTGAATATTCCGCGCAGATATCAATCCCAGCAACAAAATTGCAGACGTCTTCCACGCCCCACGAAGCCAGTTCAACATCGCCTTCACAATGAGGTGGCCCCGGACACCTATTCTGCGCCGCAGGCATCGAAGGCGATACTTCGGCCGAGGATTTCGTACTCCCTGCTATCCTATCGGTCATTTTTGGCCTCTTTGCCAAATTCGCCGAACTCAAATCTAAAGGATGACTATCAGTAGACGAACGTTTTGTTAAAGGAGCAACTGCCGATGTTGGCAGGCCCCCCAGAGATGACGCATTGGAGTTGGTATTTGGAATATTAAGCGACGAGGTTGGAGGACTGTGAAGAATTGTAGTGGCTGCCGACGGCGACAGAGATGATGGGTTTTTAAGCAGCGTTTGCATTTGGTCTTCTTTGGCAGCTCGCATCATTTGTACGAGAGCTTGCGTACTGCTCATGTCGATTAGAGGTTGAAACATAGAACCTACAAAAATAAAAAAAAATTAAATCACATTACACTTCAATGCCAGAAAAAACCTTGCATATTATATTCAATTATTACCTGGTGGAAACGGAAATCCAGGATACATCGATGGCCCAGTCTCGCCCGTTCGTTTCGGCGGCGAATCAGCAGCCAGCGGCCTTTCTCTTTGGGCTGCTGCTGCTGCAGCCGTTGCAGCTACAGCTGTAGCCGCCAGCGTTTGTTGTGTCGGACTACCGCGTTGACTTGTGGCAGATGTCGAAGGAGAAACGCTGACAGCAGCAGAACTTGCTGCTCCGGGTAACAGCGGAGCAAGAAGACCTGGAAATGGTGACCCTTTGAACGGTGGACCTGCGAATCGAGGATCGAGTGCTGGGAAGCCGTTTCTTGCTGCTCCAAAGTAACTAGAAGAAAATAATTTATTTTATCAGTATCATCTTTGATTAGAAAAATATTATGCATTAGACTTATCACATATTAAAAAATAGACAAAATTATTCCATAGACAAAGTGTAAATTATTTCCTGAAAAAAAGAGATGCCTATATGAACCACAATTGAATTTTGAAGCTCGTCTATCGTTTTTAGGAATACCTCTGTATACAAACTATATTGCATGGTAAAAAATTTAAATTATGAGGAGTACATCAAACATAAGCTCCTACAAAAGCAATTCATAACAGTTAATCTTAGATGTTTTTTTATCATCTCTAATAAAGAAAACGCATTCTATAATAGCTGCTCGATGTATATGAGCAGTAAGTGCTGCACTTATAACATAAACTACGCACTTGCAGATAATATCATAGTCATTGCTTAGTTTATAGAATGCATGTGCATAAATCAGATTATCTAATCAATACAGGGTTGAGAAAAATATAGCTATGACAAAGCTAAATTCACAGGATAAGTGTATCAACAAAGTTTACAACAAAATAAGAGATAATATGATAAAATATAAAATTAGCCCTTTTATTAAAAGAGCATTTTTTGCAAGAGTGACCTCTGCTGATGAATATTTCTGATGAAATAACAGATCCGGGTTATCAGCACTGTTATCGCTGTAAAAATGCATCCATGAAATTTATGTTTTGCATTAGTCGAATAATACAGCAATTATTTTGTAAAATTCCAATCCCAATTTGTGAATTTACCCCTTTCAATTTACCCCATCTTTGTGATAAAATGGACCATTTTGAAATACAGCAGAAAACACATTTCTACAATGATGAATTAGCTGGTAATGTTAGTGAACAAAGTGAGATAGTTGTTTGTATAAAAATATAATCTGAAAGTTTTCATTTCCTCATTTGACAACCCTGTTCCAAGGATCTAGCGATCTAGCACCATGAATAGAACCGACTGCTACCCGACAATTATTCTCTTACAATGGGGAGTTGCCACATTTACATGTATATCGTTAGCGATGAGCCCCCGATGTAATTACATGGCGGCGAACCGTTTAAGAGCACCGCATCAGGCCATACTATCAATAATAATACATGCACACATCGGGCAATACGCCCGCCTCTACACATATGTGATTCGAAATAGAGATCCTTCAGCAGATCCAGAAAGAAAAATTGAGGTTTATGATTCAATATGAAAATAAAATAGTGGTGCATCGCATCGTGCCTTAAGGCAATTTGCTGAACATTCTCATTCCGTAATTTAAATTTTTTAAAAGCTTTAAAAAAATTTGAAAATTTTGAAAAAAATATTTTTTCGAGAAAAAAAATCACTTTCATGAAATTTTTTTTTTTTTTGTATTGTTTGAAAATTTAGATAGTCGAATTGTTTAAAGCTCGACCCGCGGTTATAGAGGTACTCAGATCGAATATACTTAAACTAGTTGTTATTGGTATTTTGCTTTAAATGAACTTCTCGATTTGTGTAAATGATCGACTTAATGATAGATAAATTAATTTATGAGTAGTTAAAAGTATTCGAAGTGAATTTATTACACATTATTGAAAATCGAACACGTCAACCCGGTCGGAGTATTTTTTAAAAGCAAATTTTCAAAAATCAATAAATTTTATAATTGAGCTAGTTTTTTGTAGGACTTTAATTGTTTAGTATGTTCATTAAGGCCAAGTACTCTATCGTTATACCAAGTAAATCGTCTAATTTCAATTTAAACAAATGTCAAAAGAACAAATACTCATTTCTCAAACTTTGATGAATTTTTGAAATTAAACTATTTGTCGTAAGGCCGTAATATTTCAGTAAGTTCTATAAGACCATGATCAACTATGAAAACCACTAAATCAACCATGAAAACTAATCAGTATCATTCCCAACTAATATCTTTCAAACAGTTTTTGATTTTATGCCAAATGCCAAAAAAACGATACTAATTTTTGCAAACTTTGAAGAATTTTTAAAGCTAAACGAGTTGTCGTAGGGACGTAATGTTTTAGTATGATCTAGAAGACTATGGTATCTATCGTAATAAAAAGAATAAAAATCGACGAAATAAATTGTTTCAACACTTTATTACAAGAAAACGGCCCAGCCAATCTCTACCAAAAACTCATCAGCACGATTCCCAACTAATATCTTTCGAACGGTTTTTGAATTTTCAAAATCGATTCAGAACTGCGGGCTAAAACGTGGACAAAAAAAATTTCACTTTGTTGTTATTCACACAGAAACGGCTTGGCTGATCGTCGCGCAAAATTGATAAATGCTAGAACTCATCGCGATACATCGGATGTCTTTTAAACTTTTGAAATCGGTCCAGCCGTTTTTGAGAAAACGTCGATTTACGACAAAAAATCTTTCACACACACAAACATTTTCCAAATTTGGTCTCATTTGATTCAGAGTGGCTTGAAACGTCGAGAAAACATAAAATTAGCAAATCGGATTTTTTTTATTAAAACATAAACTTCTCCTTCAGGAAGTTAACAAGCTCAAAATTTTCAAAAAAAATTTAAAAATTTGAACTTTTCTCTCTGATAGCACTACAAAAACTTTGTAATTTATCTTCTTCAGCTCTCAATCTATTACCACGGTGTTCTAAAAGTCATTTTTCTAGAACACCGACTTTAGTGTAGCATAGTTACCACATTATTGTCCTCGGGGCAAACTGCACCTATACGCAAGATTACTGCGGAAGGCCGATTAAATCTAATTTTCAAGCTGCGTTACAGTTAGAAGTTACTATCGGAAAACAAAAACGAAGCTATATTATCGAGAACGTAGAATGGCTACAGCGCTGAGCAGCTTTTTTCTCCTATGTATAATAAATGGAGCATTGTTGCGATTGTGATAATAAATTATAAAATGTGTTTCGCAATATAGTTTCAGAAGTTGTTCTCGAGAAATTAAAAATTGTTAACGTGAAACAAATCAAACAATGTGCAATTTAGGGGGCGTCATTAATAACATTTTCAAGAATTTATATTTAAAACTAGATGACCCAACAGACATTGTCCCGTACCCATGTCTACAATTTTTTAATATAATATAATAATATTTACCGTTTACCTAAAGATAATAATTATTGTTTTTCAAATTACTCTTCACGCCAAAATGCATATACATTTATAATATGAGCGATGTTAAATGTAGAACTGCTTCAAATAAAATGATTAGTCTCAACTTCTACACTATATTGGAAATTGAAATCTTTTAAACGGTATAACATAACCATAATAACCATAACATAACACTGGTACTTCATGTTGGATTAAATTAATTTTTTTTTTTTATTTAAGATATCCAAAATTGCATCTTAAACTTCTCCTAATCGAAATCGTGAGGGCCGAATTGCATGTATTCCCCTTTGTTGTTATAAAGTGAAATTCTTACGAATTTTAAAAATATTGTGGAGAGATTAGTAAAAGATGCAAAGAAATTATCCGAATCTTGTGTTGGCGCCCCCTAAGACGTGCGCTCGTATTTCTCGCATGCATTGCATTGAAGGTAGGACCGGCCTTGATTAATACTTAATTTCATATTTTAAGTAAATTAATTTGTCATATCCTATTCATATGTGTATCATTCAATCTGCCATAGATATACAGTATCTTATATTATTTCAATTTATGGCACATCTCAGCTGCTTTTTGGTAATAATAATGTAGATATTTCATTCTTCTTATTCATAATCATGAATATATTATACATATTCTAATATTGTCTAGGTTCATAAGTAAATTGAAATTTTTGGCAGATGATAGTTTGTATTTGTTTTCAATGCAAACAATAACATGTCGTTTTTTGCAGTTTTTTACATTTATTTCTACAATATTGCACACACATCCTTAACAATCTTCAGAAAGTTTTATCAAAATCCGGAGAATCGTTCAGAAGGAGTATACAGTAAGTGCTTGTAATTTAATATGAACTTTAATAGCAATAAAGCTCCAATTGATTCTACGTTTTAGTTAGAAAACGTTTGTATGTGGAAAAGAAAAAGGTTGTTTTTAGGGTTTCTCCGGCAATTATTCGATTTTTTCTTGCCGTAAGAACCATCCTTGGACATTTTAAACATTCTAAAACATTTTGCCAAACATTTTAAAAAAAGAATTGACCAAATTGGTTCAGGCGTTGTTGAGTTATGCGCTTACCAACACATTTTGCGATTCATTTTTATATATAAGATTACTCCCCCTCCCCACACAACATCACGTGTATTTTTAGTACCTAGCAAATATCGTGAAATATATGATTTTTTTCCATTAAGCCCTTATGAAACCTTAATATATGTCTATTACCAGTTCTATCTAAAATTAAAAATATTATTTAAAATCAAACTCACTCATTAGGATTTGAGTTGTTGTATTTGGCAGCCAGGCTGCGTATGAAGTCTGAACAGTTTCGCCCCATGACTTGCTCCATGTGTCTGATGGTGGCTTGCGTTTGTGCAGGACTGGGGCCGCGGTCGTGGGGGTTCTGAGGCGGCGTTCCTGGGTAACTCGAAGAGGATGGTGTTACACTCCGAGACCTGAAAGGAAACGAAGTACATTTTCTTAGTTATGATTTAAATTAAGAGCTGTTTAGTAAAGATATTCAGTAAATAATGTGTTATAATTACATAATTTATTTAGGAAGATTACCCAATGGTAGCCGTTTCTAGTGTGAATAAAATGAAACCGATTTATTAAAGGGTGATTAAGAGAAAAATACCAGGAATCGTCAAGATATTGTGCTCATGAAAAAAAGTCGACAAGACGTAGTAGATGACAGAAAAAACATAATTCTACTTGAAAATCTAATAAATTCCAGCAATTCGAAAAAAGAGCTTAATAACACTGAAAAAATCTGATCGTCTATTTGGAAACGGATGGAAAATCAAACATCTTTCTTCATACTAAATTAACAAAAAACAACTGTTTGTGACAAACCTATCAACAATATTAATACAATTATTTAATTAACTCATATATATATAATTAGTTTATAATTTATAATTGGTTTATATTTATAATTAACCTAAAGTTAATGTAAAGAAAATACACGAATGCAAGTTTGTCACACTTTGTGCAAAATAGTTAAAAATGGATGAAAATAACTATTCATATGATCACGATGACGATGGATATGTGTGTCCATGCACATTGTAAGGCTGATTACTATACGTGCATTTAATTAAAACTTGGTAATTATTGCTAATAAAATATATATACATATAGGATAGAGCGAGGCATAAAGGTCGGCGCATAAAAATCTCCACCACCGATATCTCAAAAACAGGTATAATTAAAACATTTTAACACCGATATTTGAAGATAGAAGGTAGAGATGTATAACCAGTCATCGACTTAATTCTTATGAATGTTGCTAACGAAAGATAAACGACAATGTTTCAAAATCCAAATCCACAATAATATTTTCCCTCGTTATAAGTTACGAAACCATAATATAATTTTTGTGAATACGTTATTTAATTGTTTTATAAGTTGTCTTGTTAAATTAGATTCAACAGTTTCTTTTATATAACCTCTATTACAGATTACACGTGTAGGTGGGGTAAAAGGACCAACTGAACGTTTTACCTGGGAAACGTGAAAACAATAAAAATAGTAAAAACGAAATTAAGTTGCAAGTTATACACAGTGTTATCTTTGTAAAAAATCTTACCAATTTATGTTCTGCATTTGTTAAATAATGTAGCTAATAATTTGTGAAATCCCTTTAAAATTAAAAATAATACATTGGACCTGTTTGCCCCTTATCACCCCGTACACGGCAAACAGCAAAAAAAGCATTTTTACAATGATGAAGGGAGTTTTATTTACATAGTAAATTTATATAAAAAAATTAGTTGTACATAGGTATATCATCATATTTGCTTCGGTCAGTAGTATGCATTAGCACATCCATAACGGGGTTAACATTTGTGTTTGATTAGCGTCTTATGCATCTCAAACACCGTTTAATACGCATTAATGGAAGTGCATCACGCACATAATTTAAATGATCATTTCAGATATATGCTAAGTATTATTTTTATAGTTTTTAAGCTCTTAACGTTTTGTAATTGTTAAGATTTTAAATTTGTTACATTTTCAGCAAATTTCATTTATATTAAATATTTAAATTTATTTATTCACTTAAATTATTTTAATAAAACCAAATTAACTAATTATAATAATATTGTTTTCAATATACAAACATATTATAAAAAATTTATTATAAAAAAATTATATCAATCAGGGCTGTACTTAAAATACAGTGCCTGAGTTTACTTGTCGCTAAGACGATATTGGAGGGATGGAAAATCAAACAACTTTCTTTATACTAAACTAACAGTAAAAGTACGCATTATTTACATTTAACAAATTCATATAAAAGCAAAAAAATCATCTATACTTCTTTAAACTTCAACCGAGAACGCAGGAGAAACGGTGCGGTAAATTTGAATTAATATGGTTCGGCATAAGTTTATTTGCACTTATTTGGTCTTATACAATAAGAAAATTGCTTGATCTACAAATATTTAAACTGAATCAAAACAATATTTGAAAATAGGTTTGATAAAAAAATTTAACATTATTCTAGGAAACAGTAAATTTCCCATATGATTGGAGAACATTAATTTTAATTTTAATTGGTGCTCAAGGAATAATAAGATAAAATTTAATTATCTCAAGTAATATCTATTGCGCTATAAAAATTACCGGAACACCAAAAATCATCAATATATAATTATACCCTTTTTTTAATTACAATATTTATACTCAATGTTAACAGTTTTAAAATTGTAAAATCCATGTTAAATATACGCTTTATGTAAATGAAACTTTCAAAGCTGCAATTCAGAGTTCTTAAATTAGTCGAACTTTTTTTAACTAAAATCGAAATTTATTTTAAAAAAATGTATTTTTCAAACATTGGAAATTATGAGAACATATGTCTTCAACCATTATAGGTAAAATCTTAATTAAGCAATATCAAAAGATCTCTATCAACTAACCTGCTAGCACTGGACTGATTATCCGGCGTCAAAGCCGCTCTGCCCGGACTCAACCTCTCACTTTTCACTGCGTGATTATTATTCAGACTGCTACTGTTATTATTATTATTAACACCGCTATTATTATTATTTAAACTATTATTATTATTATTCATGTGATGATCCGCTCCGGCAGCACCGTTCATGCTAGCGGGGGTGACAAGTGCCGCCTGGGAGACTCCAGACGCAATTGAAAGTTGATGCTGATTCTGTTGATGTTGAAGTTGGTGGTGGATTGATGTCGAATGGTTGCTGCTGTGGTTGAGGTTCGTCCGTCGTTTGCCGCGCGCCCTCACGGGGGCGGCGGGAAGGCTAGGCGGCAGCGCGCCTGCCGCACTTTCGCTCTCGGCTCCGTCACCTGAAAAAAAAATAGATAAAATTATAATAAAATTGAATAAAAAGGCACACAAAATTTAGTCTTATTACTAAACAAATAAGTTTCTAAATGAAGATTTTTTTTTCTTAAAATAAACCTTACTGAATATCAGAGATTTCAAACAGCAATTGTCAATAGACAATGAATATCAATATTATTAGGATTTCGAGGTGCACAGGTAAACAGGTCCGCTACCATTATCTCAAAAGCAAGTAAAGTATGTCATGTTTATTTATGCTATTTTAAAGTAAAAGAAAAAGATGTGTTATCAGCCATTGCTTTAAATACAGCGAATTTGCTATCACAAGATATATGGTCATATTGTTATTTTTCAGAAAAAGTATTTTCTTCTGAAATGGACGTCATAGGCAAAGTATTAAAACCGAGTGACAATTTTTGAAAATAAAAAAACATTGACAAATTAGCTGCAAAATTTGTTGAAATTAAATAGTTTTTTGATTCACAAATCAACAAATAATCTAATTACTTCTAAACTTTTATATTTAAAAATACTCAGCCAAACCAATCAACATAAAAGTTGTACAAAAAACTCATACGAAGTTCATTTTTAACTTCCCGTAGGGTTTAGTTATAGTAATCGCAAAAAAATCGAAAATGAAAATTTTTATATATCTTTACGTTTCAAAGAATTCTGAATATTTTGGCATACCTTAGAACAAGTTAATGTATGTGCGCGTGTGTGTGTGCGTGTGTGTGCGGATACAAATTTTCGTCGACGATTTCGGGAACATTTGATACGGAGACGTCCTGATTAGTTTTTGGCGAAGGCAGGTCTAGCCGTTTCGAAGAAACGGGGCATAAAGTGCCAAAAATGCTAACTCAGTTTTTAAGAGAACGCAGCGCCCGATTTGATTATTTCAAAAAACATTTTACTTGTACTAACAAGATGAAGAACTGATCAAATTTTCATAAAAGCAGGTCTAGTAAAAAAAGTTAAAAAAATGCCACCTGGCGGTCAAAAATGATCATTAGACTTATGCACATCAAATATTAGTGTCAGTTTTGAAATGATTAAGGATTAATAGGATATTTTAGTTTTTTTAATAGAGAAGTTTTGATTTTCATAACTATTTATTATAAATTCAAAAGCATAAATTCAAACAGTTAATTGGTCTTTAAAATTTATTTTTTTCATGTACATTCCACAAAAAGCAAAGTTACTGAAAATTTACTGATTTAAAATATTTTAGTTATTAATACCTATATTATTTATTATTAATACCTGATATATGATATTTTGTCGTCAATGTATTTTTCTTCAGGAATATCTGTTTTAACTTGGTTAATAATAATCTTTGCTCTTGTAGCAAATACTCTTTTAATATTTAATTTATTAATGATATGATTAAGGTTATTAAAGAATATAAATATAAAAAAACGAATATGGTTGTATCATGAATTTATAATTTTTGGTTTCAGGTAAGTGATTTAATTGGGCAGAAAGTTCGACATTAAAATTAAAGTTTGGTGGTATTTTATCTAAGAACTCTATTATAAAATTTTTAATTAAATTTCTCTAAGAAATTTCAAGTTTGCAAGACTATTAGTATCTAATTTGCTTTTCATATTTTATGAATATCTCCTTATATATGTAACATGTATGATTAATATACAAATTAAGTGCAATATTTTGTGACACAGTTACTCTCTAATTTAGAAACAAATTAGTCAAAAACATGAAAACTTGAATATCTTAATGATATATTAGTAAAAATTTACAATTTTCATACAATTAGTAATTTTTATTGCATTAATTTTAGCATTGCAAGTTTAAATTGCACCATATTTCTCTATTATTTCAAATAGAGTATTATTGAGAGAAAATAATTCAGTATTATTGTCAACTTAAAGCATGTATTACATGCTCATTTATTCTATATTATATCTCAGACATTTATTTGGAAAAAAATGTTGTAATTCTCATACATCTGAATTTTTTTTAAATTTCATTACTAAACAACAATAAGAGTTGTTCCTATTATTGCTAATGAAGTAATTAAATGTTGTGATTAGCATGATTGTTGGACGAATGCGTGACCACGTGTGTTTTTCATCTATTAAATTTATTGCAATTAGCAATTGATGAGCTGAACACTGATTATTGAACAATGAAAAACGAAGCTATTAGTTGTGGAGTTAATCATAATGGCCATTAAATTGTAATTGACGGTTAATGTAGTATTGCGACAATATCCTGTACATAGATTACAAGGACCAAGAAGGTCTCTTAAATTTTTTATATTTATAAACTTAAACAACTGAAGAAAACTATTTATTGTAGACTTAAACATAATAAATTTTACATAACTATCCATATTTGTACATCATGAGTTAGATCTGTTGTTATCATACTATCAGGTTTTCTGACGTCTTTCATCGGTAACTTTATACTTATGAGAATCTTGGATTTTGCTTGTTTTTTCCTAATTGCTATAATTTAAGTAAATCACCATAATGAAGCTAAATACATATTATAATATAATAATATAATATCATTAAAATATTTTGTTAGTTAAATGTCATTAACCATAATCTCTAATGATTACTATGGTCTTCTAGTTAGCCAGGAGGTTGGCACGAGCTGGCATGTATTTAATGAGTTTTCTTGTGTATTATTATAATATTATCTACAATAATTATATTCCCGAGCTGAGGCGCGCGTTAAACATACATAATAATGGAGGTTTGAAAGAAAACTTATATTTTCATTTACTGAAAAAAAAGTTTAATCACACCAATAATGTGTAGTCTATATGTGAAAAGAACAATGTTTTGATATCACAACAAAAACAAAAATAAATAGGAATAACAATTAGTAAAAAATCGCAAATATGTATTGACTTCTTCGAGTCCAAGATAGATAACCTAAGATTAAAAATAAGATAGTGAACATCTTCATTCCAGGTAGAGCAGGATAGGGCTTCAAGGTCCACCACTATTATATTCGCAAAAACAATTGAAATTTAAAGTAGAGGGCAATATATGTGTAATCAGCCATATCTAGATAAATAACTAGAATAATAGCAATAACTAGATAAATGTGAACAAAAGTAATAAGTTGACCCTGTCAAGCGTGGATGATAATGATATCAAGTAGCAAAAACCTTATGCAGTTTTTCTAAAAAATTGTTCCTTCATACGTCTCGTATTCAATCTTCATGGCTTCTGATTCAGAATCTTCTTGTTCATGTACGGTACCCTGAACAGGGCGTTTCTGAAATCTTAGACACAACCATTAGTTATCTGCGTAACCAGTGACCATAACCGTAGAAGGTATCTCGTAATAGCAAAACATTTATCATGCGATACTATACGTATAGTCTATCTTTCTTAACTAACCGTTTCGTTCTTGCTTATTAAAAGCGCACTAGTAGCTACGGCAGAGTAACCGCGAATTAGAACAGGTGGCGTCAACCTGATAGATAGATAATATTTATTGGCCAATTCTAGGATAGAATAGCTATGTTATATTGCCAGTTTCTTGTGGAAACATTACATCACCTATTTTATTTTGATCAATCATGTTTTCTTTTTGTTGGCTCTCAATGTGGTAGCCGGTGCACAAAGGACGAATTTGACTTTGAACAATTGTATTGTAAAAACCAAACCAATTACACCTAAGTCTGTTTTTACACGGTCTTTTTTTACACGGTTTTGATATAACACGGTTTGAAAATTGAATATTTTTAATTTTTTT